GAATTTGAAGGCTCATTGAGATCAGGGAGAACCATGTTGCTTTTGTTTTCGACATTGATTGGTGTCTGAATGTTAATCTCAGTCAGAGGCTTGGCTTGTTTTGCTACTTCCATAATCTCTTTAGCTTTGTCTGCAGGGAACTCATTATATACTAAAACTTTCCCTCCAAAGAATATGGTCAGCTGCGAACTTCCTGGCTGTGATTCACTGTAAACCAAAAACAGATTTCAGAACAAAACCATTTTGAACCGGTTATCATTTCTCTACTCTCCAATAACCAAACAAAAAACAACAATTTTTCCCAAGGAACAAAAGGAGACCTGAGGTCAGCAACATCTTTGACTTTGCCTCCAGATGATGCAGAGGGTCCCCCTTTGAAATGCCCTGCCTTCTGCATCGCATTTTGTTTCCCTGAATAAAGAGAATAAAAACTTTCGTGAACAATAAGAACTTACGGAAAATAATAACTTTTTTCCGAAAGATATAGCATCTTATATCTTCTTTGGGATTTTTATGAACCATATATGATATCTCAATCAATATCTATATCAATTTATTCTTTAGTTTTGTTACTTGTCAGCATAACTACAAGGAGAAATTATTTCCGATTCAAAGGAACTGACTTACAAGTGAAGAAACAGAACAAAAGTAGTAAATCTTACAAAAGCAAAAAAAACAAAAAACAGAACTGAATTTTAACTATTTACCGAGTGGCGGCAGTGAGAGAGGAAGAGATGATAAAGTACCTGGTGGATCGGATGTTCCGAGCAACCCGATATTGGAATCGGGTTTTCGGAGCAAGCCAAGATCTATGTTTCCGAAACTACCCTTCTCCTTCAAGTAACGGCTGAGCAAACTACATCTCCTGGTAAAGTCGGATTTCTCCGGCGCTTTTGCCTTAGCATTTTCATTTTTCGACATGTTGTTTATGAGAAGAAAGAATTCTCCACACTTCTTTTTTAAGATATTCTTATCCCTTCTTTTCAATATTTTTCTTTCTTTTTTTGTCTGTGCGTGGATGGATTGCGCGTAAAATGGAAAAGTACAAGAAGCTAGCTCATGTGTGTTTATAAACTCATTCACCCAATACGTTTGTGTGACTTGAATAGCCTCCCATAAATTAATGAAAACAGAAATATATAAACAGGAGCTTTTTTTTTTTTTTTCAACTTTCAATATATTATTACCAAAATATAAATAAAATTCACTTTTTTTTTACAGCAATTTGCAAATATTCAAACATTTATGGTATTTCGATTTCTTTTCGTATAAATTACTTTTTTTTTTTTTTCGTCTGAATGATTCCATTATATTATACGAGGGTAGAATACGGTTTTGAAATACAAGACCGACAAGAGTCGAAACTCTTTCGGAAACTAAGCCGGCGGAAGACATAAATATCCCCGGGAAACTAAGCCCAAAAGAGGGAAGCAAACTATAAACAAAAAGGTACAAGAAGGTAAACTCAAAAAGAACCAAAGAACTAAATCTGAGACTCGAAACCATCATAACCCGCAAACAATCCCAGAGAAACGGTTGGCGTCGGAGTTGAAACCAAGAAACATGAGCCTCAAGAAGAAACAACCAAACAGGCAAACTCCAATAGACCGGAGATTCCGAAGAAGAACGAATCTGAAGGCTCAACCAGCAACAATCCAACAGAACAGAGAGCGAGATCAATCCAATAGATTACATCAGATTTAGAAATATTCCATCGCATGACAGTTTTCAACTTTTCACTAACTATAGAACTATATGTAGTGTGACGAAAGGAATTTTTCATCTATGATTAATAGTAAGACAATTAATGTTAATAATTCATCATTATGCAAGTAATTTATTTATTGTTTTATGAGTTGGTACAACAAATTTATTGCCCTGTCTTATCATAAAAATATGTTCACCACTTTTTTTCTTGTTTGGTACAGTTTAATTGTCTACCATCGACGGCCAGATTTCAAAATTGGACTACAAATTTTACGATTTTCGGTTAGAATTCCCCGCACGTTTTCCTTACGCGTAAGGAGAAAAATAATAAAGAATTCAGAACCGACGGCAAACGTTATTAAACGGCGTTAACTACTATGTCACAAAATTCGTAAAGGACTCTAAATTTGCTCGTATTTACAAAGTTTGCCTTTCCACAAGATGCCAAGAGCACATTACCAACTCTGATGGTGGCATCAATGTAAATAAACAAAGTTCATGGCCTTTTTCAGACATTACCTGAACACGACGTTCCTCACGTTAGTCAACAAACTTAACGGCGATAAATTGAATGCATAGTGTGTGGACCAATGTGGGATCCTACCATCGAACCCCTACGAAGTTTCATGTGCCATAAAAATTCAAAGTCTCCGATACGATCCGACACAAGTTTTTGATTAAAACACGCGGTTAAATAAAACAGATCGTTAAGATTGTGACACGTATCGCAATCTGTACGGCGCACCAGCAACAGTATCGTGTGAATCGCGTTTTCCCACTTTCCTATAGAAAGAAAAAGAAAAAATATCGAGATAACCTAATCAGTTTGGTCAAAAATAAAATTGATGGATCAATTGACCGAACTGCCCCTTTCACGGATGCCATAATAATCAATACGTTCGTTGGTTGCTTCAACATTACGACTCGTTCAAATAAACGTGTTGGATATACTAGCACTAAAAAGAATAAAAAGTTTAGATGTGACTTAATTTAATAAGTGTTGTTGTCTTGTTGATGGGACTAAATTAAGTTGGATTAGGGCAAACCGTGCGATCGGCCCATTGATCGGACCAAAAGTTGTCTAACCGGTTTGGTAGCTCGCTATCCCTACTCCACTGCTTGCACTGTTGCAAGACAAAGTGGGCTGGTGTGATTTGGAAGAAAAAAAACGTTTGGAATTTAAAATGGGAAAAATGTCATTAAAATCCCCAACTTATTCAAAACGTTGATTTAAATCCTCAACTCATGACGAAACGAAATAAATATCAAACTTATGTTGACTTTCCAAATAAATATTAAACTTATGTTGACTTTCCAAATAAACACCAAACTTTCATTGACTTGACCATATTAGGCATAACGTTAAGTGAGTTAACAGACAATGTTAACGGGATTAATTTTCTGTTAACAGATCCGCTAATTAAAAATGACAGTATTGTTGAACTATAATCAAATCTCATCTAAGTCATATAACCTAAAGTCGTATTCATATAAGTTAGTTATTTACGTAAGAGACACGAATGTACGCGTATAGTTGTGTCTGTTCGTAAAGTTGTGTTTTTTCGATTAACACATGTACGTACACATTGTTTTGTGTTGTCGTAACTGTTCAATAAAATCCCGAGTTTCAAATCATACTCTATTTAGGGTTAGGGATTTTGCTCGATTTAGAGATCTAAAATTGATTTTAGGGATTTAATTCAATATTTATTTGGAAAGTCAACATAAGTTTGATATTTATTTCGTTTTGTCATGAGTTGAGGATTTATTAACCCATTTAACGTCGTATCTATATGGTCAGGTCAACGGAAGTTTGATATTTATTTGGAAAGTCAATGAAAGTTTGGTGTTTATTTGGAAAGTCAACATAAGTTTAATATTTATTTGGAAAGTCAACATAAGTTTGATATTTATTTCGTTTCGTCATGAGTTGAGGATTTAAATCAACGTTTTGAATAAGTTGAGGATTTTAACGACATTTTTCTCAATTTAAAATTGGGTAACGAATGGGTCCTTTTTATATACTCTTGGTCTTGGTATTAATAATAAAAACAAAAATGGAGTATTTCTTTACATTTAACCGAAACGTCGTCACAGATGCTCTACGCTTGACCCGTTTCAGCCTCTTATTAAACAAGTCCACATTTTTTCGAATTTATGGTAATATTCTAACACTATACAGTATACACTAATTTTTTTTTTAAAATAACATATTTTATTGATAATCCCAAATTGGCTGGGCTAAACTTAAACTATACACTAAACTTAAGATTTTTCTTCTTCTTCTTCTTCTTTGTAAGATTGTCTTATTATGTTTATATTAGAATATGTGTATCATTAATACTCTACTGGAAAATCTGGCCTTTCCACCGGCTCTCTATGTTACGTCTTAGGAGTTACATTCAACTTACAACTAGGTCTAAACTTTCGGTTTCTCGGTTCGCTTTAGATTTTTCGGTTTTTCGGAAACATGTCTAAATTATTTGGTTTAGTTCGGTTGTTTTAGAGATTTGTATACAAAAGTATTGTAAAGATAAATTATTTGTACTTACTATTGTATGTTTTTAACAAATATTAATCCTTCAGTCTATTTGGTTTATTCGGTTCAAAGATACAAAAATGAATGTCATGAATGTTCCGAGACAGATAAAAAGAAAGAATGTCACTGAATTTTTCCCCTTTTTAATAGAAAAAGGAAATAGTCGAATGGGCTTGGCGGAAACTTCACATTGATTTTGGGCCAACAACAACCCATATTTAAAGTTACGGTCTTTACAGTTACAGATCATCATGAAAGCACTTTTCGTCCTTTTATCCATTTTATTTTTAAAGCAAAAAAAAAAAAATCGTATTTCTTTAATTCAAAAAGGCTAACGAAAAAAACAAAAAAATTCTACATTCGTTTCCCCTTTTGACCAAAAAAAAAATTCTACATTCGTTAGGAACTAACATTAAATTTGAACTTTATAAACGCGGAGTAATGTCCTACTCTATGTTCTTCAGTTATTGGATAAATTTTCCGATTGACGGAAAAGAATAATATATCTTATAACAATTTATATGTTAATTGATCGTGTAATACCGAATTTTTTCAAAAAGAAATTATACAAAGTTTTTACTAAAGTTTAACGTTCAATTTTTAAAATCTTTGGAGAAAGCTAGGAAAAGCTATATATCCCAATGTCTTTATTTTATATAATAAAACATGAATGAGAAACGAGAGAGAAGGATCTCAAGAGTTGACTTGTCTGAGTGTCTCTTACAGAAAAAGCGAACCAAAGGCACAAAGAATGTAACAAAGAAGAATCTTTATAAGCTGAGGTTATCCACCTTAAAATTACACAAATCACACGCACACATGTATGTATGTATACACTCTGACATTTCATATACATATCTACACATGTACGCAATTTCAAGAACATGTTTTGGTTCTATGGACCCAAATTCCCACAGATCAAATCATGCAAAAAAGAAGTTAACAAACATTCTGAAACTCCATGGCTTAACTTGCATATGCACCAAAAATTTCCTCGGAAATGGGAGACTCATTACATTATTTCTTTAAATTTTCTCGAGAAGATTTGATTCTGCATAAAAGAAAAGAATATCTTGCATAAGTTCATGAAAGAAAAAAAAATTAGAAACTTAAAAGATTATATTGTTTTCTCTTAATTACCCTGTACTTGGAAAAGATTTTGCAAGAGCTTGAATGATGAAGGTTTGATCAGATCTCAAGAACTATGACTGTAATCAAAAGAAGATCGAATTAGTTGTTTGTTTTTGAGTTTTACTAAAATAATAAGGATCTGATGAAAACTCACAATCAGAATCTGTTTTGACCCATTTATATCCGTCGCCACTACTTCTTCTTTCGCTAGTTTCTTCTTCTTCTTCACTCTTCAATGAGAGCTGTTTCTTGTCTTCCAAGTATCTCTTTGTTGTCGATGATGTTGGTTTCGAGGAGGCTTGAGCATTAATCTTCTTATGGAGCATCATCTTCAACAACTTTAAATTGATTGTGATCAGAGGTAGATATTAAAAAATACATTTAAACTACGAATTTCAAATTCGTTCTCAGTTGTTTACCTTCTCCATTCTTGATTCTTGAAGCGTGTCTCTCAGGCTAGGGCTTGGGGCTGTAGAAATCCCATTTGCGCAGACGAAAATCTTCTTGAAAAGATATGAGACAGAGGTCTTGCTTATGTCTCTCTTCTTCTTATTCTTCTTACTCTCTATTGATATCTCTTTGCATCTACCTAGAATAACGCTAATCGTTCGCTCCATATCTTCCTCCTTATTCTCCTCAGACGAATCCACAACAGCGCTAAGTGCATTGCTGATTCGCCTATCGACCTCTAAACTCGATGGACAGTTCAAGAATCTATCCAAAGGAAGATTTTTCATGAGCTCTCTATTCACATCAGACTTCCTTTTCTTAGTTCTTGACAAGAGCTTCATCAACTCCTTCTGCAACTTTCCAACCTCCTCAGGAGTGAAATCTTCAAGATCGACAGAAGAAGAAGGCTCTTCTTCTTGCTCGGATTTTGCGGTACACTTCTTCTCCGCTTCAATCTCTTCATGAACATTCTTGCTCTCGTTTTCGCTCACACTATTGCTTGTTGTACCAAACGTTCCAATAGCGAGCAACGCGTGAGGCCAGTCTCTAAACTCCTCTCTTGGCTCTTGCTTCACATGATCTAAAAGGCAAGATTCAAGACAACGAAATAATTTCAGATCAAAGACAAGAATCTTGTCAAAACAAGGTACCAAAACGAGATCTAATAAAAGCAAATTTTACGAGACAAGAATCTTGGGGCATTGCTTACACATATCCCTAGTAGACAATATAATCTTGAAGTTAAGATTTTATGTAAGAAAACTTACGAGAAGAAGCAGAGGAAGTGCTTGTTCTGTTATGATCCCCATTAAGCTTGTTCTGCATCCACCCAAAGAACTGAAAACAAAAGCCAGAAGAAAACACTTCAGAAATCATCTGAGGAAAAAAAATTCAATGGAACCTTTATATATCATATATATGATCGAACTAAATACAAAGGATCAGAAAACTAACCTTCATGTTTTCTATTTTTTTGACAATTGTCTGTAACAGAGAGATCAATTAATGTATATATATATATGAATTCGAGTTATTGATATATCAAGATTTGGTTTATTATAGAGATAAAAGGATTAGATTTTTAGACAAGTTGGAGTAAAATTGATGAATTTGATGGTGTTCAAGTTCCAAACTTTGACTACTTAAAAGAGAGAATTTTAAGAAAGAAAAAAACTTCTAAACTGTTCTTGTAATCTTGTGTTCAGATGTTATCTCACAGTTGCTTCTTTATACAACTCACAAACTCACATTAATGCACACATCCCTGCGTAACCAACGAGTCCACCAACATTCTTCTATGGCCCATAATCCCATATATTAATTTGTACTATTAAACATCAAAAATTAAACCCCAAAAAACTTTTAATTATTATTAACCCATGTATTGGAGAGGACGTCACGGCATTGATCTCGGCTCATACACCGTGGAGCCACCTTAACGATATATATATGGACTAAAGTTCGATCTGTTTTACTAGTCGAAGTTCTAAGAACGAGAAATTGAATCCCTAGAAATGCATTACATTCAATGGTTACTATGGTGACACACACGGAGAGGGGTCTCGTAAATTTCGTTAATTACATAGTATATATAATATGAACTTGTTGTGACTAGTATTCACATTTCTGACTCTCTTTTTTTTTATCGTGATCCGGTATATGAGTAATAGGCGTGTGTTTCTAGGCACATTCCTATTCCAGCTTTACTATGGGCATATGCAAAATAATAAAAGAAAAAAATATTTATAATTACCCGAAGAAATAAACAATTTTTTTTCTTGTGGCGAAGGAACTTCACTCCTTTCAAATTACTATTTATATTTTTATAACCATTGATTGGTTCCAGAAGATATTTATGTATTTAAGGCCTTTCTTAGTTTTCACTTTTATTTCATCCGGTCAGATATCAATTAGTAACACATTTTGTTGTCGATCAAGTGAATCAAATTTTTGTTATCTGATTCTGATCCCAAAATTCTCAAATGTATATTTTTTAATGTTAATTCGGATTTATAAGGCTCATATAATATATAGTTGATTTACATTCTAATATAGTTGTATTTTTATTTTTTTGACAAAAAAAATTATTTTATGAATTCTTTATTTACATATTGGTTTTGGAGAATGCATTTAACCTAGACGGATAAAATTTGTGTCAACTCAATTTCATAACTCATAGCATACAAACTAAACGTCAAAGATAGTACAATAGAGACAAGCCGGTTAAATCCAAGTTTAGGAAGATCGACTATGCAAATGTATTATTGCTCGCCAATTATGTATCCACTACAGTCTTAGATAATATGGGGAAAACTATTAAAATTGTAAATATTAATACAGCAGATATGTTCTTTTCAAAGAATGCATAGAAAATCCAAAGGAAAAGAGTCAGAAAGAAAAAAATTAACGAAAATCCACGAAAAGATCTCGTGTCGATGTCCCCTTAAGTCCTTAACCCTTCTACATATAAAATAAGAGCATGTACACTATACTTTTTTAATATTGTAGTTACATGAGAAATAAAACAAATCATACTACATATATCCATTACTTAGCTAATCGCCTTTCAAATTTGCATGGATTTTAAAACTTTAACGTAAAAATGAAAAAAAAAAAAAAGAAAGAAAGATTGAGTTCTTTTAACTCTCGAATTATTGACTACTTTTCTACTCTCGAATTATGATTATGAGATCTAAGCGTAACTTTAAACGTATTAAATTAGGGTAAACGACCTGTGTCTCCCTAGGAAGTTTCATATAGTATCACAACTACACATAATTCGGACCTCGACCGCAGTCCACACAGATCAGAAGTTAACTCCAGTTTCCCCCCAAATCAAAAGTTCAAGACCTTGGACCCCAAAATTTTGAATTTCGTGTATTATCTATGGTGAACTGTACCGAACCGATTGTTATTTTTGGGGCTTATTGAACTTAACCGTCGGCTCAGTGTGCTTGAACATCGATCAAAGCATATAGGACATCTAGAGGATATATCTCTTTGGTTTTAGAATTTTATGTCTTTTCTACCGAGGACGTCGTCTATTTGGTGTTTATATTGGCTGGTAATAGTGTACATGGTCTTGAGTTTAATGTCAAGTCCCCAAATAGATTGATACTGGGGACTGATGGAGGAG